AGAAAGGGGAACCCTCCTACACTGTTGGTGGGAATGCAAGCTGGTGCAGCCACTCTGGAAAACAGTATGGAGGTTCCTCAAAAGGTTGAAAATAGAGCCATCGTTCTTTTGTTCTTTAACCTTTATCTGTTGAGTGCCTTGGATGTGCTAATTGCTAGGACTACAACAATGAATAAGATAGATTCAAATTTTCTCTTCCTAGAATGTAGTCAAGTCAACCATTACAAATTGTACAGCCTGTGAGGAAAACCAGCAGGATGCTATGATAGAGGCCAATGTGTGTGTGCGTGCGTGCGTGTGTGTGTGTGTGCGTGTGTAATTTACTTTAAGCTGTGGTAAAGCTCTTCAAGGAGATAACATTTAAGCTGTGGACTGAAGGATGAGAAGGAGCCCATCATTTTAAAAAACAAAGTGTTCCAAATCCAATGCTCTTCGTTTGTGCTGAGGCTCAGAAATTGGAAACAACTTTGCTAACTGAAGGAAAAGAAAGATGATCAAAGAGACCAGAATGTATCCTGTGCCAGGTGGGAGGACGGGTGCAGGAGGTGAACAAGACAAAACTCTCCTCCAGGAATTTGCAGTGGAATGGGGTTTGGGGGATGACAAGGAGACATAAATTAACAACTAATGCTTTGACCATTCTCTATGATTTTGGCCTTTAGTATCTAATTTGGGCTCTATAGGTCTCTGCCACCTTTTCCCAGCCCCAGACTTCTCAGGGCCAAGTTCTCCTGCGCCACATCTGTGCTGGTTTGGAACCACCCTTTGTGTCACTAACCCTTCCTAGAAGGCTTGATCAGGGATGTCTTCCTCCCTCTCTGCCTCTCCCACCCCAGGTTGTTGAAGCTCAAAGTTCAGGAGGAGCAGGGCAATTTGACGTGCAGTGATAAAAGTAGAGATAAGTTCTGTTCAAAGGCTCACAGGAAATGCCTACAGAAGAGATATAATTTATGGCTCCAGGGAGGTGAGCTAGAAAGCTTAGAAGCCATGTGAGAAGTTGACAC